GCTGAGATTCCACAGATTCCAGACATATATCACTGAGCGATCAGAACTCGCGACAGGGGAAGCAAACACAGACATCACAACACGTAGCTTCACGGAGGAAACACGGAGATATTCTTACCTTAGTTGTTGTTCTGATCAAAAGTTGTGTTCAATGGCATCAAAACGATAAAAACGCTGCTGAAGGTTAATCCAATGGTTAATCCAATGTGTCTTGTCACTTTGAAATTATTACTGATACAATCCATCTTCATATTTACTAGTTTGAGCCTAGGTTTCGGTTTTCAGAGCGTAACATAGCTTTCGACTGCGTGCACGTCACACTCACTCCTCAATGGTAACGTTTATGTGGAACTTCCCCTTCAATTATATTGGCTCTAACGGTTCAAAAGAGATGTCAATCACCAAAATCGACCAACGGGTTCCAGAGAAACGGCAAATCCACCCAAATCCACCCAAACGACCCCAAAGGTGTTTTTTTCTTTGCTAAACCTCTCTAAAAATGTCAAATGTCACTTGTTTTGCATCAATCTTGATGCAGGGTACTTATTATATGTTATAGTTTGGATTCCCAGNCCCGATTATGTGTAGAGAGAAGGTACATCTGGAGGACTCGAAACCCCTCTCTTACAATATCATCTCAAATCATGTTCACATGACACACAAGATATCTGGATTAAGAGGTTGCTTTTTCTTTGCACAGCATGAAAGAAAGGCGAAATGAAAGGGCTGTGATTTTATTATTTTTAAGCAGAGGTTGAGTTCAATAATTTGTACGGCCCTCGCAGGATGTTGTAAAATTTGAAATGGCCCTTGAGAGGAAAAAGGTTCCCCACCTCTGCATTAGGCGAACAGAAAGATACTGCTGTAGCTCTACTAGTGTAGGCTGACTAGATAATAAAACAAACCCCGCTCTTCCCAGCACAAGAAAGAAAGAACTACACTGCTATTGTTTGACACAATGACAACATATTATGTAATACAGTACAGTGTGCATATTTGAGGTCAACTACATTACCACAGGCTAAAGAAACACCAAGTATTTTTTAAAAGACGAGAGTAGAATATGACTTAAATAAAATCTGTAATGCCATTCAAATTAAATTAACTGTTGTGTTATTTACACAATGACTTTTACACCAATGGAGTACAATCTAAAAAGAAAGTGTCCATAAATGTAGTTTTGATGAGTTTTTCCTCCACTAAACCCCTGGTACAATATCATTTAGGCAGGAAATATTGATTTTAGATTAGGTCTTGCCTATTAATTTGTAACCAGCCATCAGCATCAGATACTGGAACAGATGTACAAGACAAAAACCCTGGTACATTTTAAGCAAATATTACCAATTAATTCAAAACACAATGTGCACCAAAAATCAGAGAGAACATGTGGAAATTACAATAGCGGATTATTGAACTATGAATTGGAAACTCACCAGAAAGTCAATTGAAATCGCTGTAAATGTAAACATACTGTGGTTAAGACCAAATCAACATTGTACAGTGATTATTATATAATGGACAGAAATAGCATCTAGTAGCTTCAGAATTTGTATAAATTCTGTATTGATTACGAATGATAACCTGTTCATTCCAAAGTAAGTTATTACAAGAGCTAGTTTGGGGGATAGACAAAACCATCCTAAAGCATTAAACAAAGTGTAAAGCTATCAGGTCAATCTTCAGATGTCCCTGCTACCATATTAATCACTTGCAAAGGTCCTTCAGATTGAGGGGTATCAAAGTATAAAGTGGCTTTCCCCAATCACCAAAGAATCTTCTTCTATAAAGTGAAGTAAAATAACCATTTATGCTTCTTTTTTTTCTAACAGCTTTTCCCCATTTATTGATGTCCTTGTATTCACTTTTAGTTTTTTATTTGTTTCACTCTCAGTGTCATAACCATTGCTCAGGGTTTATTGACCAATATCCCCCTCAAATAAGCCCAGTGGGTTTCCTGCCTCTTTCTGCAATGTATATAGCCTAGTCTGTTTTGATTGTTATTCTTTAATTGTGAAAAATCATTTAAGAATATTTTAGCAGATAGCAGTGTCAGAGTAGTACTAGTACATATTCTGTATTGATTACAACTGAAACCTGTAGGCTACTCAGTGGTTTTGTATTAAAATGGCTGTTTTGAGAGAGAGAAACCACCATAAAGTCAATTCAAGTGACTGTAAATTTAAATTGGAGTTGGATGCCTGTTGTTATATGTTATTGACATAAGACCAAACGTGTACATTTTATAAACTGCACGTAGAGGATGCAAGACATCCAGGTAAACGCGATGGCATTTCATGGAGAAATATCTATAATTCGTTTTTAACCAACGCCAACAATATATAATTCCACATTTACCAAAGTTGCATTGACTTCTGGTCAATCATCATACCACTGACAAAAAGTCAAGCCAATTCAGCCGTGAATTAACCCGTTTTCTCTCCCAGACAGACGCTGCCTTTATAAAACTAACATCGGTTTCAAACTGTTGCCTGCTAGCTCAAACAATATTAAAGCTAGTTAAATGTCATGTTTTTAACGTAAAATATGTAAGTTAGCAAAGGTTCAGTCGGGCTAAAAGAGAAACGTCCATAAACTACACAATGTAAAAATAAAAGAGCAAACAAAGCTAGGAAGGTACACAGAGAAACACTCACCAGACCATCCCGTAGGCTCCCTCTCCGATGTAGGAGAGGTTGGTGTACCGAGGCCCGACGTCGAAGGCCTGTCCGCGGACTAGCTCCGTCCCCGACCCGGGGCTGGGGCCAGCAGGGGCAGACACCGCAGCTGTCGCCATTATGAGCCTTCTTGTTTCTGAACACGGCTATCAAATACCAAAAACTGGAACTAAGACTAGAAAACAGTTATATGAGTGTTATATCCTTCGTCGCTGTGAACACGTTAGAGGCCTTCACTTTGAGTGTTTTCTTCTTCCCGTCAGAGTGCGTTCAGAGCGGCCACACCATTGCTGTGCAGGAGCGAGCGAGTAACGGAGAAGTGGCTGTTGCTGCAGGAAATAACGGAGGCGGTCATGTGATCCGCTGTTTTCTTTTTTTGATTTCCCTCTTTACTTTTTGGATGGCCAGTGAAGCCTCCAGGTACTGCTTCCACTCAGCAGGACAAGCTATACAGTAAGGTAGATCTTGATGTAAACGCACTATCCAGTTCCTTCAGCCTACTTAAAGGAGAACTTTAGGAGTCTATTTTGATGGTTGATATTTCTATGATCCAAAATATTAGTAAGCCTGGGCTACACATGAATAACTCTTCACCTATACAAAATCCAGAGATTATGTTTTTTATTAATATTAGGATATTGCTACCAAATTACATGGCATGGAAATAAAAACTCACCATTCTTATTGGACCTTTGAAAACAGTAAAGGGCTATGTAAAGATCAGGGGATCTAGATGGGGCAATCAAAACAAAATTCCAAAAAGGAGATTGATCAATGCAGGACCCTAAAAATGTATAATAGGGCGCAGAACACAGAGAAAAAACTATTACTGCTCTGAAATGTAAAATACCTGCTTTTAATATAGCCTACTTCAGAGTATGTTAGTAGTATTAGCAAAAAGTACTTCAACAGTATTAATGTACAGTTAAATGCTTACTTACATACACTGTACAGTGTAAGGAAAACATTTGGGTCAACAGCTTCCTCAGACAATCCAACATAAATATATAAAAGACATAAAACAAATTTAAAATAAACCAATAAAAGTCGTTTAGGAAAAGCTTAGGAATAAAGCAGTATTATGGCCTGTGGGACAAAACTGTCCCTGAGCATGGTGGTCTTTGTCCCGATGCTGTGGTACCGCTTGTCAGACGGCAGCCGCTGGGTGTAGAGGTCCTCCATGGATGGCAGCTCCGTCCTGGTGATGTGCTGTGCAGTTTTCACCAGCCTCTGTAGAGTCTTATGGTTGAGAGCGGTGCAGCTGCTGTACCAGGCCATGATGCAGCCAGTCAGGATCCTCTCTATGGTGCACCTTTAGAAGGTCAGGATCCTCTCTATGGTGCACCTGTAGAAGGTCAGGATCCTCTCTATGGTGCATCTGTAGAAGTTGCAGAGTATCCTGGAGTCCATGTTGAACCTCCTCAGCCTTTGGAGGAAGAAGAGTCGCTGTCGAGCTCTTTTGGTGATGGTGGTGGTGTGAAGAGTCCATATCAGGTCCTCAGTGACGTGGACCCAGAGGAACCTGAAGCTGCNGCATGTACAGATGGAGTGAAGATGTCTCTGTTCGGAGCATATTGTACACCACTCTATAATGCACATTTGTGGTCAAACTACAGAAAAGCAAGTTTACGGAAACTTCAAGGAGCTTATAATGATGCCATGAGAATATTGCTGAAGAGACCTCGATGGTCTAATGCAAGTGAAATGTTTGTGGCTGCAGGAGTCAATACTCTACAAGCTGTTTTAAGAAAACTCATGTATAAATGTATTTGCCGGCTTTTTTTTATGCTGTGTATGTAATTTATTATAATTATGTAATGTCTTGTCTTTTATCTGGACCCTGACTCTGTAATAAAGTTTTTATTGATTGATTGATCTAGACCGACACATTGTTTGTGTCTCTCTGTGAGGTATGATTTTATCTATTTCATTACAGTTGAAGAGAATTTGACTTTGGATAACATTTTTTATTTGAACCTTATTGTATACTGCATCAAAAGCTTTTCCTTTTGTTTTTTATCTAGAAAAACAGCCCGACCTTTTCTTGTCCAGTTCAGTCTGAATATTTTCCCGAAAAGAAATATGCGCAGTTTTTCAAGTTGAATCATTCATCAAGTTGAATGATTTTCAAAGAACCAATCAGACAAAAAGAAAGACATAATGCAAAAAAAGTTGCATCGCCTCCTCTTCACTTTAGAAACTTAAAAGTAGGGATTTGGGTTTTACAGATCCTATTTTCAGGTGCAAAGCAAAAAACCAAAACATTCTCTCAACTTTTAATCCTTGAGAGTTAACATTTTATCGGCAGGCTAAAAAACTCACCTTGGAGTTGAGCATGATCTCAGGTGCTCTGTACCAACGAGTGGCTACATACTCTGTTAGGAACCCAGTATGATCGTGGTCAGGATCAGCCACACGTGCCAAACCAAAGTCACAGATCTGCAGAAACAATGAGTGACAAGACAGGGAAAGAATGAAGCATTAGCAGATACAAGATACAAATAAAATGGATGTCAATTCGTAACAACTCAAAAGTGACATGTTATGTCATTTATTATTAAATAATTGTTAGGGATGTTGAGGTGTTGGTAATGGTATTGGTTTGGTATCAAGATATAGGCAGGTATCAAATCAAACTCATAACTTTAGTATTGTGACATCCTTGGTGCAGAGAACACAACAGTGCCGATGTAAATTGCCAGGAAACACTGACCAATAAGAGCAGACCTGATAGTGAGCATTATATTCTTCCCATAAGAGGGTTTTTTAGGCTGACAAAATTAAGTTTGGGATGAAATACCTTTAATTGGTAGGTTTTGGCATTAAATATGAAACAACATATATATAATCAGGGACTTAAAACAGGCTTTCAAATCAGCCCATTCAGTTTGACTCCTGTTCATTTGTCTTTGAGCAACTACCTTGAGATCACAGGTGGTGTTGAGCAGAAGGTTGGAGGGCTTCAGGTCACGGTGCAGGACGTTGGCAGAGTGGATGTACTTCAGCCCTCTTAGGATCTGGTAGAGGAAGTAGCAGATGTGGTCGTTGCTCAGGTGCTGAGTCTTAAGGAGCTTGTACAGGTCGGTCTCCATTAGATCCTGGACAATGTACCTGAACAGTTCCAGGTTAAAGAACTTCTCATTTTAAACCTGGGCAATTTGTTTTATAATTTACACATAGTCATGCAAAATAATAAGGTTTCAGCGTTGGGCAATCAACTGTAAAGTGACAAAAACTGACATTATGATCATTTTGTTGTTGTCATATCAACATGAATAAAACGATAAATCAATTCCTTCATACAGACACCTCCTTACCTCTGGAGTTCGACAGTTTATTTGTACTGCCCAGCCCTAGTATCTCAACAAAATGGAGGTTTTACCACCACACTGAAATTGGATGTTGTAAGCATTGCACAGAAAATGAAATGCTTTGCATCATGTAGCTTGACAATTATCCTTTTTTTGTTGTTCCTGCAGACTGGCAGTGCAACTAAAAAAAGCCAAACTGCTGACTTGCATAGTTTTGTGGGCAACCTCTCAACTCAGTCAAATCTAAAATTACCCATGGTGGGTAAATGAGCCGTGCAAGTATAGTTAGAATGTACTGAAGCCAAGTTTAAATTTTTTTTGTTTGGGTGAATTCTCATCTTATCTGGCAAGCAACAATAAGTGAGCTGGTTAGATGCAGGGTTTGGTCAAATCCATTTCTTCACGTAAGGCAGAGTGTCTGCATTATAAAACAGTAACTATGCAGCTTCTATTGCTGCCGGGCTACAGTGAAGAGTGTCTCTGCCAAATATATGGCAGGTGGCTATTATGTAATAAAGTGCAACAGCAAACGTTTATTCAAGCACAAATGCTGCCGTTTAGGACCAAGTAGTGTCTAATGGTGTAGCAGTAAATCATGACTATCTATAAAACCATCCAATACAAGTACTTTAGCATGCCAACAACAACCTTACATGTAAAGACCCCTTTATGATGTCAAGGACAAGCCTAAAGCTTTTGAATTCAACTGCACATTAATAACAAAACACATTCAAACCATGAGAAGGGTAAGTAAAAGGATACACGTCCTTCATCTGGTCAATGGTAGGTGTGCGGATGATGTCGTTGATGCTGATGATGTTTTCGTGTTTAAAGCGCAGAAGGATTTTGATCTCTCTCAGGGTGCGTTGGCAGTAGGTCTGGTGCTCAAAAGGGCTGATCTTCTTAATGGCCACACGTATCTTGTTGTCTCGTTCATATGCAGAGCTGGATAAAAAAAGAAAGAAAAATAACCCACATAAGACAATATTTTTTAAGTAGAAGAATACTAAAGGAGCCATTACAAAAAGACACAGCATTAACAAACTTATTTTCACCCATGTGTCTCCACCTCTTACTTCCTGTTTTGTGCTTTTGAACAGATTTTTGTTTAGCCAAAGTGCATCTTAAATATATCCAATAGCATTGCTACAGAAAAGATTGATAGCAGCAATAAATGCCAATACATCCACCTTCTATATGGTTAGGATACCACACAGAGCTGCGATGCGAGCAACTGCCTGGTAAGTCCAAACTGCAGTAAGGAATAAATGATCCACTGACATGAAAGAACATAAAAATTCACATCCCTTCTTGCTTTGCAGACACAACCTCTGGGACTAATGCTGCTTCCTTCCTGTTGTTTGTCAGTGGAAAGCTTTTAATGTTGCCGTTTAAAGTGGTAACAGCAGGAAATGTTCTGTTTGCTTCAGCAGTATCTTAACAATGCCAATACACCTCTGACAGTGTGGAGCAGAAAACAATGAGGCTGCTGCATCTGTTCCATTCAAGTACAATCAGTAATGTAGGAGTGGAACAAAATTGCCAGACACAGAAAGTGTTGATCTACATTTGAGCAACTTAAGTATTGAAATCTGAGAGTTTACCACGATGACACAGCCCAGTAGAGTTTAGGGACCATCTCTGCTTGGCTACCAAACAGGACATTGCACAGGATAAAGGCACTCTGCACACCGCAGATTTCTGCCAGATGAATAGCTTGATCGAATAAGCTCACCTCATTGTGGTTTCCGACTCTGTTTATCACTATACTAAAAAAGTGCAGAGTATGATGTGTTGTGCAAATCAGACAATAAAAAGGTTTTTACTGTAGAATGGACCATGAGCACTATTACATGTTTAAATGCAGTCCATATTTTTATAAATGGTAAAACATTGTGGAAATACAAAATAAATCAGTGCTTTACAAAGAAATATTTTGAACTAACTATACTAAACTATCAAGCATGAGATAACATCTAGTAGTGCATAATTGTTCACTTAATCCTACTGAGGAATCCATTGACTGAGTATTTAAAGGTGACGTAGGTAAGTTTGAGAAACATGTGCGCGTTCGTGTGTGTTGGAGGAGGGGCTCTGTAAGGAAGTGGCAGATTTTTTCCGGCTATGTATTTTCAAATTCTAGCGTACTCGAGCTGGTTTCTCCAAAATTACCTACCCCACCTTTAAGCAAAAAGCATTTTTTTATTTTATTAAATGATTAAATGTTTTGTATATTGTACTTTCTATGAACCACTTTCTATTCTTTGGAAATGTTCAAGATATACATTTGAGGATTTTAATGAGTACCAGAAAGGCTGGGCACTGACCTTGAATCTTAACTGTATGTACGTAGAGGAAACAATATTACAAAGTATTGATTAAAAGTGAATTAATTGCAGATATTCTTTTCCAATAATCGCTCTCAGTAGTGTCTGTGATTTGACAATTCTTCTTAAAGAGTGGTAAGAACAAGTGGGCTCTATTTCACAATATTGCCGTCTGTATTTTCAATAAAGAAAAGCAGAACATATACAGGAAATTATATAGGAAGTCTGCATGCATGCAATGCCTTATTCCTGCAGTTAGCACAATAAAGCCAGATTCAGAAAAAGGGGGAGTAAGTTAATGCACAGAGCTCAGGGGACATTTTACATCACTGCACACAAACGTTTGATAACAAATACAAACAATATTTGCATATCTTTTTATGAGGAAAAGTACAGTACAGAACATGAAAACTGATACGATGCAAACAAGAAAGACATCCCAGCATGCCATTTGCCATTAGGGGGGAGAACATTTGGGTAAAATCTAACTTTTAGCAGCTTAAGGATGACGCTTAACATTGACTTAATTGCATCAACACATGTATTAACCTGTTCAATGATCACTAAGCTCTTTCGGGATATTGGATTTCCCTCTTCCCACTCTGCTGAGGATGGGCGTGTGTGTACGTGTGTGTGTTTTAAGAGTGATAATATTGTCGTACAAAACACAGCTTTCCAAACTAATGTTTTTAAGCTAAATGCAATAAAAACAGTTTTACATGTATACAAATGACTGTGTGTTTACAATCGGCAGAATAATTGCTAAATTCCACTCTAAAATGTTGGCCGTGCCCACGGTGAAACAGCTCCTCCACACAACTCCAGGTACAGACATGTCCACTGTTACATTTCAGTTTCCTTTTTCAGGGTTAATGGCTATACAAACTTTCCTACATTTACTCAGCGTAGAGATTTTCTGAATTCCCACACAGGTTTGAAACTACGTCTTGCATGCCATTTCATTACTGTAATAAACTCAATACAAAAAGCGAAAATGAATATGTTTGGTTGTTACTTTTAAGTTCTCTGACTATTGCTTGCATATTCACTGTAGGTGCTATGATAAATGAGTGGATTTAAGATCAAAACAGCACATGGAGGGTTAAATGCAATTAAAGAATACAAGACCATTTGTTATAAACTCCTAAAGAATGACAGTTTATATTATAGTCTTGTGTTGGTTGCGAAATCTGGCTAGACATTGTCAGTGAACAGGAACTGACACACCAAAACTCACCACCTACTGCCAAGAAATGCTAATTACCGCTTCCAGCGTCTAAGATTCAATTGATTTCTAAGTCATCTGCTGTCAAACAAGCTGCTGCCATTTGGAGCAATACAAAAAATGAGATTGTCCAAAAAAAGCTGCACCTCCAGGATTAATCTTTTACATTTTCAGCCAATAGTTATTTTATTCCTACACATTACAAACGACAGGCATGACTGAAAAACACCCACATAGTATGACAAAATAAGAAAATGAGTTGCTATAGTGATGCGGGTTGTAGGGACTCAAATGTAAACACAAGTGTGCCAACCTTCTGTGAGAGAAATATTAGTGACCTTCTTTTAAACTTGAAAGAGAGGAATGTGTGTGCGTGTGTGTGCGTGTGTGTGTGTGTTGCGTCTGTGTGTGTTGCGTGTGTGTGTGTGTGTGTGTGTTGCATGCGTGTGTGTGTTGCGTGCACACGCGTGCGTGTGTGTGTGTGTGTGTGTGTGTGTGTGTGTGTGTGTGTGTGTGTGTGTGTGTGTGTGTGTGTGTGTGTGTGTGTGTGTGTGTGTGTGTGTGTGTGTGTGTGTGTGTGTGTGTGAGCTCTCCATGTAACTGCAGATACCCTCACGTACAAAGCAGCGGGGTGCTACAGCTAAAATATGGTTCAGGGCAAAAACGCTATGGCACGAAAAACATCTACAGAATTTGTGTAGTAGATCAGTCGATGGTATACAGTAGGCTGGCTCTACCAATGGTTTTTGACAAGTCACACTGTTTTGTCTGCATGATATAAACTCAAAAGCAATGTCTTTACAACGCTATGCCATATACAACTGTATCAATAAATGAAAAGCACATTTGTTTTGCATACATTGAGGCAAAGATCAAATGCACGCCTAATTAGGCTTTTAAATAGATTTAACTTAATATATGATAGGTTAAAAGAAAATCCTTTTATAAATATAGAAACACTATAAATATGTTGTCTAAATAGGGTGCAAAATGCTTGCAGTGCTTTCATGGGAAAGAAAAATCGGTGGCTGTGTAAAGTGGAGAGAGAACACTATCTTAGTTCACAGTACATTTCATCATGTTTACTGAGGCAAGCCCTTCCGTTCCTTGTAAGTTTGTTAAGGCGTGTAACAGAAGGAGCTTTTTGAGGAAGTACAAAGTACACTGAGGTTGAGTTTGTAGTATTAATATGCTACTGTGAATGTAGACCTTCTGAGTCATGTCACTGAAGGGTGGACTTTCATTCTGTGAATGGCACTCTCAGGCGTTCAGGACTTTTACTGATGTATGTTAGTCTGGTGGGGAGTAGACCACCACCAGCTGATTGTGGCCCCTGTCCAACACAGCTGACTGTAATTCCTCACTGTTAAAAAGCAGAAGATTAAATTTTAGGAAAAGAGAAACACTGGTTGCTGCTACACCGATGGGATTACTTTCTGGTTTTCTTAGTCTTTTATGACTCGAAAATGAATTATTTCTTGACCCTTTACTAGCAATTAGTATTAGTGAACTTCAGATTTGGGAAATGATGGTGAATTAACTTTTTAAGAACCCATCTATTCAATTAAAGCCTTCAGAAAAGCAATTTTAGGAAAAACTGTTCGCTGCAAACAGATGGGATTACTTTTTGAATTCATTCCCATTCCAAAATGAAGGATCTATTGACTCTGTACTAGCAATCGGATTACGTGAATTTCAGATTTGGGAAATTAAAATGGATTAAAAAACGTTTTATTGGATTTATTATGGACCAATCAATTCAATTGATAATGATAGGCAGATCAATCAAGGACGACTACAATCATGACCTGCCGCCTAAGTTGATGGATCAGAATATTCAGGAAAAGGTTGAACAAAATCTGATCAATTTAAAAAGGCAAAACTTGTATTCTAAAATGTGCCTACAGTACAGTGATCTGACCCGGCAACCAGTCAGTGTCGTATATTCTTGTAATTTATCCCCTGTGCTTATCCTAAAGCCCGCGTCATACTGTCCCGAAATTGACAACAGATGGACCCACGAATATGGAATTGTGAATTTCGCACGAAGATGGCCCCGAACTTGGTCAACAGCCAAGCCACAGCCGAAGCAACAGCCGAAGCAAGTACGATGCCTACAGAAGGCCACACAATGGCGCCCGAACCACACACGAAGGCACCATTTACATTACATTTAAGACATACAACTGCAACAAAAGTAACAAAAACGATTATGTTAAAGTACTATGGGACTTTACATTTTGGAAACTTGAGATTGTATGTAATAAAAATTGTCACTGATATTTTCGGATATTGTTCTTTACTTTCTCCGTCTTTATATGTAGAAGATATTAAAGAGCAACTTCCAGGTTAAAGACACCTGTGAATAAATGTGTAGGAAAATGATTTTCAAAAAATATATACATAAATATACACTAGTGACATCTGGCGTCGTTTTTGTAAGACATTTTTACTTCCGCATAAATAAGACAACCCGCTTGTGACGTCACATGGGGCCGGTCTAACATATTGATAAACATTGATTTATTGGACCAGGTTTAAATTATTGAATACATTTCAACCTGGTTTTCATCCTCACCAAAGCACTGAGATGGCATTGGTAAGTGTTTATAGACCTGACACACAACATAGATGACAAGAAGGTCTCAATTAAGTAAAAACAAACATAACATTCCCCTTCACATAAGCAGGTTGAGATTGTGTGCAGGCCGTAGCTTTGTTCTTCTCATAGGCACGAAATGAATGTGTATTATCAAATATATAGCAAAGCGGTAGCTCCTATAATTACCACAGTGTATGGTCAGAAGCCCGGAATCACTAATACAAAAGACTGAGGGTGTACTGCGTTTACTACAGCGGTGTTAGATCGATCTGTAACCTACATTAAAGGTATTTATTGTGTCAGTGAAACTGATTGTGCTACTGTAATAGGAGAGGCAATTAAACATTGGTTCCGCTGAAGGGCCAGGACTGGACTATGTGCAGGTAAAAGAAGGTAGAATACAATGGTTATTTCAAAAAACATATTGCTTTACACAAGATTTTTTGTTTCAGCCGAAGATCTGCAAAGGTTCGACCGGACTTAGAATAGATTGGTCAACTTGAGTGGTAATATGGATGAACAGAAATACGTTTTTCTTTAAAAAACTGAATTATAGGAACGTTTAACTAATTATTATTATTGATCACATTACCATGTTTGACACCAACTTCCTCCCGTAATTCTGAATGTCATGCATGCCAATAAATCATGTTCTAAAGTAAGACCCTTTGATTTTTCTTACCAGCTTGTAATGCTTTTTAAAATTATTATTACAACACCACACGTGTATATTTGTATCTCCCCCAAAATAATATCAAATGATTGTATTTTAAAGTAATGATTAATCATGATTCATTTGAATAATGTGATCAACATGAATACATGTGCTCCTGTTGTTATGCTTTTGCAGACTAACAAACAGCATAATAAGCTTATACTGTCCAAAAACTAAAGCAGATTAAGTAAGCAGAGTTTAAAGCCATGTGTCAGTGCATGCTGGCGTGCGCGCGCGCGTTTTTGTAATGAGTGATGAGAGAGCGAGGAAGATAAGGGGGAGAGAGGAACAGAGCTCCAGTTTTCTTCAGATTGAAAATTGGCCAACTCCCACCCTCTGTGTGTCCTTCCACTGCAGAGCACACGCCGGTGGCTCTACATCTCCCCCGGCCCCCGCTTTATTAATCCACGGACCACAAGTGTTTGTTTTCTCGCAGCAGAATGAGCGCTGAATGCAGCAGCTACTCCAACACTGACGGTGCGTTTGTGGACGGATTCTCGTGCCCCAGAGCCGGAAATGCCGCTGTTGCTGTGTACTGTTGCGGATTTAATGATGTCAAGTACTGCTGTGATGATCCCAACAGCTTTTTCGCCTATGAGTACGGATACATGTGGTGGCTGAGGTGAGGGAAATTTACATTTGAAAAAGTGTCATTATCTTCAGTGTTTTACTTATTTGTAACTCAATTGGAAATTCGACATTCAAGATTCAAAGGCGTTATTGTCCTATGCACAGTGTAGTTATGGCAATGAAAAGTCCCAGGGTCCTCCAACTACGCAACATAAATAAGACATTAAACAATAAAACACATTAAAAAAAAATCTAAATAGTGCAAGAAATAACAGAACAGCAATCAAATAGTGCACGGGAATGTTGCAAGGCTATTGTGCAAATAATGCAGGAGAAGTGTGTGTGTGTGTGTGTGTGTGTGTGTGTGTGTGTGTGTGTGTGTGTGTGTGTGTGTGTGTGTGTGTGTGTGTGTGTGTGTGTGTGTGTGTGTGTGTGTACTATCCAGTAATGTGAGCAGTCCCACCTGTTTTAACTCCTGACTGATAGATTATCTCATGACTAAGAAATCCAATCCATCCCAGCTGTCGCATGCTTTGCTTTTATTTATGTTCTGTTTGATTTAATATGTTTTCCTTTTTATTTTATTTCCTTATTAGTTAATTTGTTCATTTCAGTCCTTGTGCTGTTGCAACACGTGCATAATTATGGCTCATCTTATCTTCTCTTAACACATTAACAGCTCTAGTTGTTTTAGTTTCATGTGTGGATGAAAAAACTATTTTGGTACAATAATGCTAATAACTCAACTCCATGGCTCCTTATGATTTACCTGCAATATTTAACATTATACCCTTTACTGAGCTAAACCAAATTATTAATATATTTGATCTTCCCCATTTGGATATTCTCTTTTCCATCCTTCAAATCATCATGTCCTCTGTAATGCTCTTTTCTCTTCTTCTCC